AGAAATAGACTGGGTAGGGTACTACATACATTGCTCGAAGGAGACAAAGAAGAGCACAACGGAAACTCCCTGAGTTGGGGAAGAGAAGTGAACAAGAAGTAGGTGATAATTGTAATAGGCATGAACCCAAGCGAAGGTTTGTGTTGTATTCTTATATGAATTCTACAACGACGGAGGCTGACGAGTATTAGCTTCGCCAACACCAATGAGTTGTGTAAGCCGGAATTACCTGGGGCTTGGGAACCACCTAGCAATTCATGCACTGAAGATACTAGTTTTCTCAAAAGATCCCAATGTGATTTTTCTATGTGAAACAAAAAGCTCAGTGGAGTACATGGAGAAATTAAAATCACAATTAAAGTTTGATTTTATTTTTACGGTACCTAGTAAAGGATGTTTGTGAGGTTTATGTGTGGTGTGGAATGAGAAGGCCAATCTTTCACTGCAAACGTATTCTCTTAACCATATAGGCTTAGAAGTAGTGGATTGGGAGATAGAGAGCATTGGAGATTGACATTCTTCTATGGTTTTTCAGCGGGGAGTGATCGCCATAAATCATGGTTTTGAATGATTGTATACGAACTCGACTCTACCTTGGTGTTGTGTGGGGGATTTTAATGAAGTTTATATATGAATGAACATGAAGGGGGAGACTTGAGAAGCGATAGACAAATGGAGGGATTTCGTAATGCATTGGGAACTTGCCAACTTACAGATTTGGATTTAACTAGATACAAATTTACTTGGGCAATGACACGCGGTTGAGGTATAAAAGTAAGATTGGACCGAGCAATGGCTAACCAGAAATGGCTTAACCTGTTCCCCAGATATCGTGTTGTGCATCTAAATCCTACATCATCAAACCATGTTCCTATCTTAGTTGATTGGCTGGGAAGAAATGAAGAACGACACAAAAAGTTATTTAGATATGAAGGGTGGAATATGAAAGAAGGGTGTGTAGAGGCGATAAAAACAGAGGGTGGGCAGCAACTTTCAATGGATCCCCAATGTATCAGGTTACAGAAAAGGTTAAATCAACAAGAGTCCAATTACTCCAGTGGGCTAAGAACTCAAAACGTACACTTCCAAGGGACATCAAAGCAACAGAGGATCAGTTGAATACTTTAGTTAGGCAACCATTTATGGAAACCACAATTGCACAACATTGTGATTTGTATACAAAATTCCACTCGTTACTTGAATAGGAGGAAGTGTTTTGGAGACAACGATCGAAGGAAAACTGCTAAAGCTTGGGGACCAAAATACTTGATTTTTTCATCAAAAAGAAAATCGAAGACAAATGGCTAATTGCTTATATGGATTGTCTGACGAGGAAGGTGTGTGGAAAGAGGATAAAGCAGGTGTGGAGGAGGTAATTGTGAATTACTTTTCGAAATTATTTGATTCTCAAGATTCTCAAGGACCTACAGTGTGTGACGAAATAATGGAAAATGTTGCACCACGAGTATCAGAGAGTATGAATGTGGAACTCCTCCTTCCATTTTCTAATGAGGAGATAAAGTTTGCTTTGTTTCAAAATGCATCATGAAAGCTCCAGGACCGGGTGGAATGTCTCCATGTTTCTATCAAAAGCATTGGGCAATTGTTGGCGAGGACGTTTACAATGTGGTAAGATCATTATTATCTTTCGGAGTTATGTTGCGGAAAATAAATTACACTCATGTCACTTTAATTCTTAAGAACAAAGATCCTACTGTGATGACACAAGTGTGCCCAATTAGCTTATGCAATGTAATTTATAAAGTCTACTTTAAAGTGATTACCAACCGTCTGAAATGGATTTTGTCATAAATTATTTTTCCATCACAAAGTGCTTTTGTTCCAGGAAGATTAATCTAAGATAACAACATGGTTGCATCCGAAATTGCCCATTATTTGCATAAGAAATCCAGTGGTTGGGATGAAATTATGGCATTGAAATTGGATATTAGTAAGGCCTACGATCGTATCGAATGGAGTTTTTTTTTTTTTTTTTTACAGCAAATGATGAGAAAACTAGGTTTCGTCGAGGCATGGATCAATCTAATCATGATGTGTGTTACAACAATGTCGTATTCATTTAAATTAAATGGGCATCCTATGGGATATGTTCATCGAAAAAGAGGAATTCGACAAGGTGATCCCTTTTCGCCATTTCTGTTTGTCTTATGTGTGGAGGGTTTATCATCACTGTTTGATGCATGGGAGAGAACAGGAAGAATTAGAAGGGTTAAAGTTTGTAAAGGGGCGCCAAGTGTGCACCACTTACTATTTGCAGACAATAGTTTCATATTTGCTCGGGGCACTCTTCAGGAGTGCATCCAAGTGAAACAATTATTAAAAACATTTGGCCAAACTATTAACTACTTGAAAAGTTATGTGGCGTTTAGTGGAAACCTTACTGATTGTGATGGACAACTACTAGCGAATTACTTGGGCATGGCCCGAGTGAAATACCATGATCATTATTTGGGGCTTCCGGTCTTTGTGGGGAATGAGAAGAAAGAAGCGTTTGCCTATGTTGATGCACAAAACCGAAGGGGTCTTGGAACAACGTAAATCCGACCGTGAATCTGCAAGAAATGTAAATAACACAAGATGTATTGTGGTTCACCCTAATGTTTGGGCTACGTCCACACTGATATTGTATTTCTCTAAGAGGGAGAGATAAAGAGCCTTTGTAATGAGAGTGAGGCTATTATCTGAATATGAGAGGCTTAAGGGTTGTGAGGGTGAGGAGGCCCTTTTATAGAATAAGGGCTCCTCACTTATTACATATTTGCTCCTCCATTTATTACATAATTACACTTGAGTCCCCCGAGTATTTATACGAGGCCTAAATACGGAGGCCCTAAGTATGGTACAAACAGTAGTCCCCCAAGTCTTCAGTCAAGAGAGTCTTTTGCTAGAGACTTGAAATTCAGTCCATGTGTGGGCCGAAGTAACTAGATGTCGTCTAGGACTGATACTCGATATGAGGCAGTGCCCAATCTAAAATGATGCTCAACTAGAAGTAGCACATGTTGCGAGGCTGTTTTGCTTGTGGCTTATGTTACCTTGGTTGGCTCGGCTTGTGGCGTTTGAAGGTGAGGAAGTCCCTTTTATAGAATAAGGGCTCGCTCCTTAATACCTAAATGATGGGCTAGAGTTGATGCTCGCGGTGAGGCGGTTGCTCAGCAGGCGGCGATGCTCTCTAATGATGGTGAGGGAGTCCCTTTTATAGAATAAGGGCTCGCTCCTCAATACATAAGTGATGGGCTAAGAGTTGATGCTCGCGGCGATGCGGTTGATCAGCAGGCGGCGATGTTCTCTAATGAAGGTGAAGGAGTCCCTTTTATAGAATAAGGGTTCGCTCTTCAATACATAAGTGATGGGTGCTCTCTAACGAAAGTGAGGGAGTTCCTTTTATAAAATAAGGGCTCGCTTCTCAGTATATGAATAATGGGCTAGAGTCCCCCAAGCATTTTTCATGAGGCCCAATTGTGTAAGCCCAATATATGGTACATAGTGTAGTCCCCCAAGTCTTCAGTCAATAGAGGGTGTTGACTGGAGACTTCAAATTCAATCCATGTATTGGCCGAAGTGGCGGTTGTTCGGAGGTGGTATTTGTATACCTTGCACTGAAGCTTTGTAGGTGAAGCTTTGTAAGTGAAGCTTTGAAGCTAGAGCTCTGTAAATGAAGCTTTCGAAGCTAGAGCTCTGTAAATGAAGCTTTTGAAGCGAGATTGACATGAGTGATGCTCATGAATGTTTATGTTGATTAACATGAGTGATGCTCATGGATGTTGACATGAGTGATGCTCATGAATGTTGACATAAATTATGGTCATGAATGTTTATGTATGATTGTCATGAGTGATGCTTATGAATGTTTATGTATGAATGACATGAGTAATGCTCATGTATGATTTTGGAGTATTGGATGTACTTTTGATCACCTGGTTGGTGATAATAGCGACAGGTTGCCGAATAATTTTGGAGTACTGAACGTACTTTTGATCACCTAGTTGGTGATAATAAAGGGCTTGGCTCTTTTGGGCATATGGGCCTTCGCCCTCCACATAACATTCTAGCCCATTACTTTGGGCTTGCCTTTTTTTTATTTTTTTTTATTACCCTCTGATGGGGTTATACAGATATCTCCGAAAGATACGAAAAATAAATTACATCATTCAAAAATAAATCTGACCCTTTGCTCAATGGGTCACGCCTATAATTCCCTTTTCTGCATGCCATCACCATCGCAATTATGTCTGCTTACTTTTATCCTCTTTTGCTTTCTGCTTTTGCTTTTACTTTCTCTTTTCCTCCAGACCTCTCTCTATCTCTGTCTCTGTCTCTGCGCTGCTGTCCATTTGTAAAGAGCATCTTTAGAGGTCATCACTCATGAGCTCCGCGACCACTTCTTTGGAGGTCATCAACCCACATGTGCTTGCATGCACCTGATCCATTTAATCACAGAGAATTAATGGAAAGCATCGCCGGGCAAAAGCAAAAGCATACCAATATCAGTCTCCTTTTTTCTTTTTCTTTTTTCTACTTTTTAGTAACATCATGATCTTTTTCTTTTTTCTTTTTCTGTTTTGTCCCTACTGTCTTTCTCTCTGTCTCTATCTTTTTCTTTTTCTATTTTGTCTTGCTTTTGCTGTCTTTTAGAAAATGGCAGACAATAATAACATAGTTAATAATAGAAAATCCTTGTAGACCTTCCCAAGAGCAAAAATAGAGTATTCTGCCATAACTTTGTCCACAAACCCTAGATGCGTTTCGAGCTTTAAACAGACTTTGGAGACCAGGGAAAGGTACTCCAACTTCTTTAGACCGTTGTCGGCAGCTGCCATTGTTTCCAGTAGGATTGATCGATTCGAAGACGAATTACAGCAAGGTTTTAATCTCTTGGAAATTTCAGGGACTCATTGTGGTGTGGAGCTCGTACTTAGTCTCTGGGAAAATCACCAAGACTTCGTCTTGCTCCTCTAGCCGCTCGACTTCTTGCTCACTTAGCCGGGCAGCGACGTCGTGGAAGACGTTCTGGTAAGTTCTGAGTTACTGGCCGTTGGTCCAGGGTCATTGGCACGGTCATGCCATTCAATCACCGTCGCATCTTTCCTGGCTCCTTGAAACATGATGTACGGCTTCATCATCGGCACTCCCATTTTCTCTATGTAACATCCAGGCTTGATTAGGATGACAACATTGATCGTGTTGTTCACCAGGACTGCATTGACGGTGGACTGGACAGACTGGAAGTCCCCGAAGCCGTTCACGTCGACCATGATCAGGCGGTGGCCGCTGGGTCCAACCCACTTGTGGTGGGGTTTGGAGTTGAAAACTTGAGGCTTCCCCAGATTCTCCACCTTCTCGTTTAAACATCTAGCTCCGGAAACGCAGTCGTTGCACAAGCCAGAGATGCCCAAGAAAATCAACAGAAGGCCAATAGCTTGATTCCTTGTGATGAACATGGCTTCTGTAGATACAAAAATGTTGTTTTGTCTCCCTTCAGGTTCTCTTTAAACAAACATGTGGAGAGTATATAGATCCGACTTTTGAGTTTCTTTTGTGTTGAGAGAGAGAGAAGAGAGAGAGATTGAGCGTGATGAGAAATGTGGCATGTTTTAAAAGGGATGAGAGAAGAAAGAGTTGGGAGTTACAAATGGAAATTATTTATTTGGTGGTGTCCTTGCAGCGGTGCACTGTAGGGTTGACATGGAGGTGAAGCGTTGCCGTAGCAGTCATAGATAGTGGGAGAGTTGGGTTATGGCTCGTCGAAAACTTGGTTACCTATGAATTTGGAGGCAAGGTTGCTACCACGGTGGAAAACACTCCTCCAAACGTTGTCTTTAGCATGAGCAGATACTAGTGTGTCTGGGGTTTCTGGTGTTCTCGGGCTCATCGACATCGCCAACTTGCTCAACTTTCCTTCCCCTTCTTTTACATTCAAGGACTTAGGAGACACCTTTCTAAGCCTGCCGAGGCCGCGTTTTGGCTGAGGTCCGACGACAATATCATCCCAAAGCTTTTCAAGAAGAACCATTTTTGCTCTCTCTAGCTATTCACTTGATAAGAGTGGATGAATGTCTGTGACTTAAGTGTTATTGCATGAGAGAGAAAGTGGGGAGAAAGAAAGAGAGAGACAGGGAGATGGGTTTTGCAGTGACTATGCAGGTGTTTGTTCTTGGGTTTCTGCAGATTCAAGGTGGAGTGTGGTGAGGTCTCACGGTGGTGAGATGAAAAAATGAAAGAGAACCGACATAGCTTTTTGTGTCGATTCCCACAGATGGCGCCAAATGTTGATGCACAAAACCGAAGGGGTCTTGGAACAACGTAAATCCGACCGTGAATTTGCACGAAATGTAAATAACACAATATGTATCGTGGTTCACTCTAATGTTTGGGCTACGTCCATACTGATATTGTATTTCTCTGAGAGGATTGTGAGGGAGAGAGCCTCTGAGAGTGAGGCTTTAAGAGGGTGAGGGTTAGGCCTAAGAATTGGCTTCCCTAATGAGGAGAGTGAGGAGTCATTTTATAGAATAAGGGCTCCTCACTTATTACATATTTGCCCCTTCATTTATTACATAATTACATTTGAGTCCTTCAAGTATTTATACGAGGTCTAAATACGGAAATCTTAAGTATGGTATAAACAGTAGTCCCCCAAGTCTTCAGTCAAGAGAGTCTTTTGGCTGGAGACTTAAAATTTAGTCCATGTGTGGGCCGAAGTAACTAGATGTCATCTAGGACTGATACTCGATATGAGGCGGTGCCCAATCTGAAATAATGCTCAACCAGAAGTAGCACATGTTGCGAGGCTACTCTGTTTGTGGCTTATGTTGCCTTGGTTGGCACGGCTTATGCCGTTGAAGGTGAGAGAGTTTCTTTTATAGAATAAGGGCTCGCTCCTCAATACATAAGTTATGGGCTAAGAGTTGATGTTCGCGGCGAGGCGGTTGCTTAGTAGGTGGCAATGTTCTCTAATGATGGTGAATGAGTCCCTTTTATAAAATAAGGGCTCGCTCCTCAATACATAAGTGATGGGTTAGGAGTGATGCTCGTGGCGAGGCGGTTGCTCAGCAGGCGGCGATGTTTTCTAATGAAGGTGAGGGAGTCCTTTTTATAAAATAAGGGCTCGCTTCTCAGTACATGAATAATGGGTTAGGAGTGATGCTCGCGGTGAGTTGGTTGCTTAGTAGGCGGCGATGCTCCTCTAATGATGGTGAGGGAGTCTTTTTTATAAAATAAGAGCTCGCTCCTCAGTACATGAATAATGGGTTAAGTCCCCTAAGTATTTTTTATGAGGCCCAGTTGAGGCCTAATATATATGGTACATAATGTTGTTGATGCACAAAACCGGAGGGGTCTTGGAACAACGTAAATCCGACTGTGAATGTGTAGGAAAGTAAAGAACACAAGATGTATCGTGGTCCACCCCAATGTTTGGGCTACGTCCACACTGATATTGTATTTCTCTAAGAGGATTGTGAGGGAAAGAGCCTCTGAGATTGAGGGTTTGAGAGGGTGATGGTCAGGCTTAAGAATTGGCCTCCCTAATGAGGAGAGTGATGAGTCATTTTATAGAATAAGGGCTCCTCACTTATTACATATTTGCCCATTCATTTATTACATAATTACATTTGAGTCCTCCGAGTATTTATACGAGGTCTAAATACGGGGCCCTAAGTATGATATAAACAGTAGTCCCCCAAGTCTTCAGTCAAGAGAATCTTTTGGCTGGAGACTTGAAATTCAGTCCATGTGTAGGCCGAAGTAACTAGATGTCATCTAGGACTAATACTCGATATGAGGCGGTGCCCAATCTGAAATGATGCTCAACCAGAAATAGCACATGTTGCGAGGCTACTCTGCTTATAGCTTGTGTTGCCTTGGTTGGCTCGGCTTGGGGCGTTTGAAGGTGAAGAAGTCCCTTTTATAGAATAAGGGCTCACTCCTCAATACACAAGTGATAGGCTAAGAGTTGATGTTCGCGGCGAGGCGGTTGCTCAATAGACGATGATGTTCTCTAATGATGGTGAGAGACTCCCTTTTATAAAATAAGGATTTGCTCCTCAGTACATAAATGATGGGTTATGAGTGATGCCCGCTGCGAGCTGGTTGCTCAGCAGGCGGCGATGCTCTCTAATGAAGGTGAGGGAGTCCTTTTTATAAAATAAGGGCTCGCTCCTCAGTACATGAATAATGGGTTAGGAGTGATGCTCGCGGTGAGCCGGTTGCTTAGTAGGCAGCGATACTCTCTAATGATGGTAAGGGAGTCATTTTTATAAAATAAGGGCTCGTTCCTCCATACATGAATAATGGGTTAAGTCCCCTAAGTATGTTTTATGAGGCGCAATTGAGGCCCAATGTATGGTACATAATGTCGACCCCCAAGTTTTCGGTCAATAGAGTCTGTTGGCTGGAGACTTTAAATTGAATCCATGTATGGGTCGAAGTGGCGGTTGTTCGGAAGCGGTATTTGTATACCCTGCACTGAAGCTTTGTGGGTGAAGCTTTGCAAGTGAAGTTTTAAAGCTGAAGCTTTTGTAAGTGAAGCTTTTCAAGCTGGAGCTCTCGAAGCTGGAGCTCTGTAAATGAAGCTTTCGAAGCTGATTAACATGAGTGATGCTCATGAATATTTATGTTGATTGACATGAGTGATGCTTATGGATGTTGACATGAATGATGCTCATGAATGTTTATGTTGATTGACATGAGTGATGCTCATGGATGTTGACATAAGTGATGCTCATGAATGTTGACATGAGTGATGCTCATGAACGTTGACATGAATGATGGTCATGAATGTTTATGTATGATTAACATGAGTGATGCTCATGAATGTTTATGTATGATTAACATGAGTGGTGCTCATGTATAATTTTTTAGTACTAGACGTACTTTTGATCACCTGGTTGGTGATAATAGAGGGCCTGGCCGCCAAATAATTTTTTGTAGTACTGGACATACTTTTGATTACCCGATTGGTGATAATAGAGGGCCGGCTGCCGAATAATTTTTTGTAGTACTGGACGTACTTTTGATCACCTGGTTGGTGATAATAGAGGGTCTGGCTCTTTTGGGCATATAGGCCTTCACCCTTCACATAACATTCCAGCCCATTATTTTGGGCTTGACGGTTTTTTTTATAATTTTTATTACCCTCTGATGGGGTTTATACAGATGTCTCTGAACGATAAGAAAAATAAATCACATCATTCAAAAACAAGAAAAGTAAATCACATCATTATTATGGGATGTTTATTCCTTGCTTTTGCAATGTGGGTGTTTATTCTTTGCTTTTGCATGTGGGTGGTTGATGGCGCACCTTCTTCTGTGAGATCCAGAACACATATCTGTGTTTGCCCCAGCATCAAACATTACTTTTACTTTCTTCTTTTATTCCTGTCATTTCTCCTTTCCGCTTTCTCTTTTGCACCACACTCTCTCTCTCTCAGTCTTTGTCTCTACTTTGCTGTTATGCATGTACACACTATCTTTTACCGTTACTGCTTTGTCAGACGCTCCAATTTGCAACTTTTGAGGGCCCAGAATTGTAACAACACAACATCTCAGAATACTTGCAGTACATTCTCCCCAAATCCAGAGGTAAATCCTTTAGTTCACCTTTCTTGATTCCAGCTTCAGAAAGGAATTTTTTCAAGGTTTTAGAGAACCCATTGTTTTCCAGGAACCGAGCCACGGCGCGGAGGGGTGGACCCTTCTAGTCGGGACTCAGAGTTTGTGCTCCGTTGGCAGAGCTATTGGGCTTCCTATGCTCCATGTCTTCGATTGCAAAGAGAACTTGGCCAGGCTTGAATGCGAGAAGGGTAGGGTAGGCTTGAACTGGGTTTCTGCAGATTTGAGACAGGCCCGCCGCAATAGAGAAGGACGAGGAGGGAGGTTTTGGGCCTCAAATTTCATGGCTTCTGAAGTAGCACCTCAGCTTCATTCTCTTCTTGATCGCTCTCCCGCTCCTTGCTCCTGCGATGCTTGTTTTCCGAGCACGGGATCAGCTACAATGGCCAGCTATTTTACAGCGCCATCAAACGACGAACGAGATTCGTTGTCCAGGACGACGTTCTGTACCCGCATCTCACGGTGACTGAGACTCCGATCGATGCTGGAGGACCCAACGTGGTTGTAACCGCCTGAACTATGGACCTGTCCATCAGGGCCAGAATTCCTGGAGCTCCTCAAATTCATTAGAGAAGTTGTCTTTGGACCCAAGTACTCAATCCATCTTGATGGACCCTCCCATTCTTGTGATCGCACAGAAGTTGGTGACAGTGATGAATCTTGGCTAGAGAAATGTTGTCTCGATTTTGCCATTGGTAATAGTAATCAAGACAAAAAGTCAAAGCTGCGAACTTGAAAGGCAGAGCAGGCAGAGGCAGGTGAAGATCATGGAGCTCAGATCTGATTTTTTTTCTCTCTCTCTCTCTCTATTTTCTCGCTCTAAACCCGCCACAGAGGCCTAGGCAAGAACTGGCTAACTCTCTGGAAGTTCTGGAAGACACTAAGTCCAGCAATTTTTAGAGTGGTGCTTGCGCTTTATGACGCCCTGAGCTCCCGCGATGTCGACACGGTGCTCCAGATCATCGCCCCGACCTCGAGTGGTGGTTCCACGGTCCGTCGACCCATCAGTTCTTGATGCACCTCCTCACCGACTCTCCAAACAAATCGTTTCAGCTCGTCCCCTAGTCCATCACCTCCTTTGGTCCCCCCGTTCTCGTCGAGGGCTGCGACCGCGACTGCTCCATTTCTTGGGTCCATGCCTGGACCGTCGTCCACTCCATCTTAAAGTTTCACCTGATTAGTCGGAGATTCAGAGAATCCAGTGAAATGGGAGCTCATCGATTTGACGAGGAAGAAGAAGAAGATGGAAGACTGGGCTGATGAAAAATGAGCAAAATACAGATAGGGAAAACAGGAGAAAGAGAGAGAGAGAGAGCTGATGAGTGTTTGAGATTTGGATCTTTTCTGTTTTTGGGTTTTTGGGATTTTGCAGATTCACGACGGAGGTGAAAAAAATGAAAGAGAACCGACACAACTTTTCGTATCGATTCCCACAGACGGCGCCAAATGTTGATGCACAAATCGGAGGGGTCTTGGAACAACGTAAATCCGACCGTGAATCTGTAAGAAAGTAAAGAACACAAGATGTATCATGGTTCACCCCAATGTTTGGGCTACGTCCACACTGATATTGTATTTCTCTGAGAGGATTGTGAGGGAAAGAGCCTCTGAGAGTGAGGCTTTGAGAGGGTAAGGGTCAGGCCTAAGAATTGGCCTCCCTAATGAGGAGAGTGAGGAGTCCTTTTATAGAATAAGGGTTCCTCACTTATTACATATTTGCCCCTTCATTTATTACATAATTACATTTGAGTTCTTTGAGTATTTATACGATGTCTAAATACGGATGCCCTAAGTATGATATAAACAGCCTACATTAAGGATAGACCATGGAAAAAGCTTAATGGTTGGAGAGGGAGTCTTTTGAGTAGTGCATGAAAATAAATTTTGATCAAGAGCGTTGCTCAAGTGGTGCCATTGTAAACTATGCAAACCTTTTTGTTACCAAAGTTTTTTTGTGATGAATTGAATCAAATAGTAGCAAAATCTTGTTGGGGGAGACAACAAGGTCAAATGAGAATACATTGGATTCGTTGGAGAAAACTATGTAAGCCAAAAAGTAAAGGTGGGTTGGGTTTCAAGGATCTCTATGCTTTCAATCTTGCGTTGTTAGCAAAGCAGGGATAGAGGCGCTTACAACAACCATCGTCACTTGCAGTATGGCTCTTTAAGTCTAAGTACTACCCTCAAACCGATTTCTTATCTGCACAAGTTAAACAGAATTCATTGTTTTGATGGCGCAACATTACTGTTGCCTGTACTGTAATCCGTAAGGGTGCACGGTAGAGCGTTGTAGATGGTTCAAAAATTTGCATATGGAGAGATAGTTGGCTGCCCAAACGTAATTTTTTTAAAGTTCTTAGTCCCATACCAATGGGAATGGATCACAATCCCAAAGTCATCAGGTTGATTACTGAGGATGGAAGTCCATCATGAAAATGGAAGCAATACATAACCTATTTGTTAAGGAAGAGGTAGCACTAATCAAACGTATCCCTCTTAGCATGTTCAATACAGATGATATCTTAATATGGAGTGTGGAGTTAAATGGAAAGTTTACAACGAGGAGTGCATACCATTTGGCACGGTATTGTGGGGAAGTAAACGGGAATGAACCTAGTGGTTCGATAATGGTTGCGGAGGTCAAATTTTTTAGGAAAGTGATATGGAGAGCTCACTTGTTGAGGAATGTAAAAATCTATGTGTAAAAATGTTGCATGAATGTATTACCGACAAGGAACAACTTGAGGAAAAAGAAATTAAATATCCTAACAACGTGTTTGTTTTGTGACAGGGATGTGGAAATGATTGATCACGTGATGAGGTTTTGTCCCCGTGCGATGGTGGTGTGGTTTTCTAGTCCGCTGGGTATCAGAAGCCAAGGGGATAGGCGACAGAGCTTGATGGAATGGATAATTGCCATTGCAAGTTCGATGTTAAGGGAAAGTTTTGACTTGGTAATGGTTTTAATTTGATGCATATGGATAGAACGTAATGCAATGTTGTGGTATGGAAAGGCTCTGGAGCCTTCGGAAATGCACTGTAAAGTGCAGACATGGCTACATAAATTCCATAAATGGCATGGGCCGAGGAAGAACACCAATGTGGTCACTGGCAGCCATGGAAGCTGCCAGAAAATGGGTGGATTAAAAGTAATTTTGATGCGACATGGGATGAACAGTTAGAGATTGGAGGAGTGGGGGTAGTGATATGAAACGACAAATGGGAGTTCATGGTTGTAGTAGCAATGAGAGTTGAGGGAATTGGTTCTCCATTGTTGGTAGAGATTATGGCAGCAAGGGAAGCAATGATTTTTTTATAACAGCAGCATACTACACACGTGGAAGTTGAAAGGGATGCTCTGATGGTGACCATGACACTTCAACTTGAGGGCCTAAATGATTCATCTCCTTTTGGGCACATTATTGCAAATACTAGACAGATTTCAAATGGTTTTTCTTTGTGCAAGGTTACATTTGGCCGACGCTCGACGAACATGGTGGCATATAGGTTGGCTAGATTGAGTTTTAGCCCTTGATACTCCGATATCTTGGTTCGAGGAACCTCCTGATGTAATAATAGACCTTTTAATTGAGGATAGTAATCATATGTAATCTCTCATGGTGCGGGACGCACTTTTTCCCTTCGTCCGAGTTGAAATCCCTAATAAGGTTTTTATCGAGACCCACTGTATGCATCCTATCCTGTTTGTACGTATTCAATTTCCTATCAATGAATATCGTACCTTCACTAAAAAAAAACACTTCCAAATGAATTCTTACCCTAATTACAACTCTTCTCATTATCTTTTATTGTCGTTATAATATCATTTAAAAATCATTAATTTTGGAGACCGTTATGAACAATTATCTAACAAATAAAATAATATCCTCGTTATGGAGCATCAATCAAATGACATTTGCACGAAGAAATGTTGTCACATTGTCCTTGAATAAAGAATGACTCATCATCGTTAATGTAAGAATGACTCTTTAACATCTTAAGTCCAACATTTGAAGTAACTACGACTACGAGCAAGGATTGGACGCGAACAACTGTCTCTAGCAAAATACTTTATGCACAAGGATTGGAAACTTTTCGAGTTCGTTTGAACGATTTGAACATAATGACGGGTTTTTACACGATTGCTAAACAGATTATCATCTGATACAGCCAACATTCTGGTTCCTCACAGAACGATCAACGATGTTAAAGCCACCTAAGAGTTTCTAACAAGAACGACATCAGTTTATACATATAGCTAACATCGAAAACAAAATAGTAGGCAAGCGAGGGAAATGAGGATGCATAAAGTAGGCGCCTGTTATCTATCATTCAATCTAATCCAGAACTATGATACAGTACAGATATACAAGCTCTAATGAGACACCTCCTAAAAAAATTCACCTGAAAAGCAAAACTTCAAAAATATCAGCTACGATACGTGTACACAATCAAATCCCATACCCTGATCTACTGATGCAAAATACCTTCAAGTCAACTGTAAATCTTCCACACATGCCATCAGAAAGAAGCAAACATCATCTGAAAATATAAGACAAGGAAATCGTATGTTAGTCCTCAGAAAAATGTCAAATGCAATTACAACAGTCATGAAGGAGCTAAGGCTTTCCACTTACCTAACAATCAAGCAAAATAAAGTGATTTGGTTGGTCCCGTCAGCCAGCTGCAGCTGATTGTCAACCAGATGAGCAGAGACGATTAATGAACAAAAAATTAGTTTGCTCATGTCAAGAATTCCGATCGCATTTGCTTCAACTTGTATGTACTAGCTTGTTTTCTACGTACTAGGACGCAACTGGCTATAAAACTCAGTGAAGTCAAGCCGAAACAGGAGGAACTTTAAATCAACATGTTGTTGCATGGGTAACTTGGAAATAAAATCCTCAAGCAATGATGAATATTCTTTTGATAGTGTGTCTAAATCTTGTCCCATATTCCGAAGAAATTCACCAGCACGTTGTGTGAGGGCTTTCCTGCCTTCACTAATCCAGGATCCAGGCTCTGAGGACCTATCATTTGATCGCTTTTTTGTTTTACTCTTGTCTCGAGAGGGTAAAGAGGATTCCATGGTTCTGCAATAAACAATCTGAGACATTAGTTTATCAGTAAAAGAAAACATAAGGAAAACAAAGGAAACAAGAAATGAGATAGCAGTTTTTTGGTTCACAAACAGTGATCATAGAAAAAGAATAGTACCTTGCTTGCAACTCATTAATCCCTTCAGACAATCGATCTGCATGACTTCGGAATTTCAGTATAAGATCAAACAAGGCAAAGAGTGAATTGTAAAGGGTTTGGGACCGTTCTCCAAGGAGAGATTTCTCCACAATTGAATGGAGGTACTTTTCATGTGCAGCAAGTAGATCATCAAGGTCCTTGGCCACCTCCATTTCGTCCAAGAAATGGGACCAGGACACCTCCAAGACTTCAAACATAATATAGTACTGCAAGTTTGAGACAAAATGATTCATTTCATCCCAAAGAACCTGGCATCGTCTCAGAGTTGAAAGTAACTGCAACTTAACTGCATGGGGAAGCTTCATAAATGAACGAGAGGTGATACAATTTGGCTTCATTGTCTTCCAAATACCAATAAGGGCATGCTCTACTCGCCGAAGCTTCCACAAGAAATTAAAAATTCTTAAATACTTTGTCATCACAGACTCTGTAAAAACAGTATCTAAAGGAACCCTTGC